AAGTTAAATTTTTTTTTTGCAAATTTGTCGAATTTTTATAATTTTTGTACAGAGTTTAAAAAGGGTTATATGGTGTTTGTTGTATAGCTATCCAGGCTTTTATAAAAAAATATTAAACATAAAATAAACCATGGAAATATAGCCAAAGCTTTTCGAAGTAAGGCGAGCCTATTATTTCTGCCACCAGTGTATGTACAAGTAGTAAATGTGCTTATGATTGCCACATGAAACGCTTAAATGTTATTGCTGGCGGGCAATCTGTGTTGTAGATTGTTGCAATTTCACCATAAACACATTTCCGGCAAGTGCTTCAAAATGTTGCATGTAATCGCAGGAGGCGAGAAAGAAAAATGCGCTGTGGTCAATAATACTTATTCAACGATGTACGTATGTATGGCCAGCGGTTTGTGGTTGCTGCCCTTAAAATGGTTGGTTGCCCAGTCATAACTGACTGGCAATCGACTATTCGACTAAAAGGCTTATCCGAATGCTTTTCGTTGGCTGTAATAAATTGTATTGAATGTGTGGGAGAACTCACCGGCGGTCAAGGCAGACACAGTGGCTTATGGATAATGTTGTATTTACGCCAAGGCGGCAGGACTTTTTACTTTCTTATAGTTTTCATAGGATGTGTATTCACAGGGATATGAATAAAAATGTAAATTGAATACTAAGTAAAAGTAAAATATGAATGTATGTGCATATTTTTCTTGCAAAAGGTCCTACAAAATGAAGTTGAGTTGAATGAATATTTGAAATTATCTCCACTAGAATCGTTTGTTTGTTTAGTTTCAGTTTAAAAATTTTGCCATTTATAATTAGAATGCACGCAAGAAACTTTTAGGGTGTTGCGATGTCAACTACAGCTGCCACGTAAAGAAGCGCGCATTTGGTATTGGACTTGAGGTGGGAGAGGGACTGCGCCACCGAGTACTGTTGTTCATCCCGATAGACGAGCACCTGGACACAATCCGAATCAAAGCGAGGTTCTCCAGCATCTCGCTCTATGCACCCACGCCCTTATGGAAGAGAAGGAGGAAGCATCAAAATATTTCTTTTATCAACGCTTGGGGCGTTGCCTCTGCCATGAAGTATAAATCGTACTTAGCGATTTTAATGTTAGGGTGAGCAAAAACGGAATCTTTGGTCCCACGACGAAACGTCCCACATCGGACTGAGGCTGATCAACTTCGCCGGGGCCTAAAATATGGTAGTATGAAAAACTAGGTTCAAACATAAAAAGATCGATCAATTTATTTGGATGACTCCAGTTTGAAAAACTAGAAAACAAATCGATCATCTTGTGATAGACGGAAGGCACTACCACGATCAGCCCTCTAAGCATCGGCTACAATGTCTTATGGAGTGCATTGTGTAGAAGATTGAAGCCCGCCGTCAAAGAACTGATTTGGCTTTATAGTATGGTAATAAAACCGGAAAATCCACCAAAAATCAGCAGCCAGATTCCAACTTTCCCTATGGCTAATTTCGATCGCCAAAAATTTCGAAACGAATAGCAGACGCGCCTAACAACAGGCAACATTTAGTTACATGCCCCTCATACTACCGGATTAGGTTGATTACACTTTGCAGATATTATTTGTGAATGTTGTATAATTTTAGGCCCCACTGCTTTTCATTTAGGCGATTTCCGTGAAAAAAATTTAGCGTAGCGATTGTCAGAATTTTACTGAATGTTCACACATTACGCAAAATATTGGAGAAGACTCGCGGGAATATGACTGACGTGTTCTGTTGGACTCGGCCAAATCCACTTACGCGGTTATAGTGCCAAAAAAGAAGAAGAAGAATCATTAAACATCTCTGAATATTCAAAATTATTCCATCATAAGTCTGTTTTGTTCGTTTTTATTTAAAACATAGCTCATTGTGTAACAAAAACCATATAAATCATTCTTGCAAACTTTTGTACAAAGTTCATAAAAATTAATCAAAGTTCAAAAAAATTTCATCAGAACTTTAAACTTTTTAGTCAGAATTTCTAGAAAATTTTCGAGTATGCAATTTTCTAGCCCATCCAATTTTAATAACAATAAAGTGCAAGTTTCAAGTCACTAAAAATTAACGTTGATTTTTTAGAATTTGCTTGTCGAGGATGTTCAGCATAAATAAAAAATCATAATGAAATGGGAAACCAAGTCGAGGGCAATGGTAGTATGCTCATATGCCGCAGCTGAGCAATTTGTGACCATTTAATCGTTACAAGAATATTTAAAATCCACAAAAGCATTTTATACATGGCGTCATCGAAGTGGTTTGAACGTCAAAAACGGTTTTTCGTCAAACCAACGGAAAATCGTTCCACAATACATGATTTATTTTTTTCTTAAAAAACCAAACTAATATTCTTTTAAATAGTAGTTTAATACTTTGTGCACATGCGAGTAAATAGTTTTCAGCTGTGACCTGCGCTGAGTATTATTCAATACTTTGTTGCCAATTTATGTCAAAACTTTTCAAAATTATGTTTACTCAATAAGTACGTATGCAGTAGTAGTTTTCCAACAGTTTTTCCCCTTTCACTAGAATTACACCAACTCTTACAACGCAATAGCAGATATTTGCCTTGAGTTCAAACGCCTTATGTGACACTAGAAATACAAAGAAAATCAATTCAATGTAACTACTACATTTCTAAGACCACTCATACCATTCGACTAGCAATAAGTTCATGCCGTAAAGTGACTTAGGTGAAATCACTCAACTAAGTACTAGTACGAGTAGCAGCCGTTGGCAACATTTCGACAATTGCAATATTTTCATGAAAGAAGTGTAAGAAGTTTTACTCAATTTTCTCACCATTTCGCTACTAAGTCAACCATGTTGTCGTACTAGTATACATTTTACCTTTTCTCAACACACTTCACTATTTTACCTTTACTTTGTGCAAGACAAGAATTTTATGTTACAAGTTTGAATGTTATTTTTCCAACTGAACAAGAATCGAGTGCGAGCTGTCTGTCCTTTTACACATATTTAGTGTATGTGTATGTGTGTGTGTGTATGTTTGTTTGGCTGCAAGTAGTGCCTTTTATAACTTTGAAGTGTACGCTTTTGTATATTTGCCACATTGTGTAGTAAAAGTATTTTGCCGCAAAACGAAGCGCGGCGTGAGCAGGAAGCAAGAACATACAACCATCTATTCTTGTCATAAAACGTTTCTTTGCTTGTATTTGCTTTTTTATTTTATTACCGTAAAAGGCCTCAAGCAGTCTCTGACTTCCCTTTGAGTGGTGCTCGAGTTGTGACTTTGGCGAGCATCCGGCGAACAGGAGAAGGCGGTGCGATTGCGTGTCATAAACTATGCATAAATGCACACAAAGCTCTTGCCACTCTTAGATATAAATGTATTTATGTGCCAATGTATATATGTATGCATGTATTTGTGTGTGTCTCTATTTGCTATACAAACACACGTAATATTGATGGCACTATGACTTTTTGTTGTAGCTGCTGCTGTTTTCACTCCTTTTGCTTCTAAGCTTTTTGTTGTTTGGCTGTGACTATTTATACGAGCTTTTTTTGCTCTTACATTTTGCCTGTTGCCAATGCTTTATTATTTCTTTTTTGCTATTCTCTTTTTTTTTTGTTTTTGGCAACAACTCACCTAACAATGTTGTACTTTCTGGTTTTTGTTGTTTCTACTTTTTGCTGCCAAACCTTCAATGTACGCTTGTTATTGTTTTCCCTCCGGGCTGTTGTTTGCTGTTGCAAATGTAACAAATGTTGCATATAAAAAGCTTTTTATCTAGACACGCGGCACACATGCGCTCGTACACATAAAAACACAAAAATCTTACACATACTCGTACAAACATGCAATTCATGCGTGTGTGATGCTGCCATTCTTGACTTTGTATGTTTATTTTATTTTATTTTGTTGCCTGTTAAGTGTGTTTTTATGCGCATGTAAAACATTTAATAAAACCAAATTAGTGGTTAAATGATTTTCTCGTATGATAGCACGAAAACATACATAGGATCACAGAGCCCTATTATGTTAAAGCTTACACAAACACCCATTCCTTTGTGTTTTTATTGAGGATATAAAGCTATTAAATTTGTGGTATAACTATGTTGAAAAAGTTGTGAATTTTTGGGCGTTCTATATTTGTTTTTACCAGTGGGTATACCTACATAAAAAGTGGTATTTTTTAAAGAAACTGTATGTAAACAGTTGATGATATCATCTCGTTCATAAATCCACTTGAAGCCTATTAGTGTTAAATATTTTTTTCCAAATCTTATCGTTGCAAGGGATATCATCAAAGTTTGCAGACTTTATGCCAAATACTGGGCAGAAAATATTATTTTAGGGAGCTAAGCGTGCACGAAACATTGGTATGAAATAAGTTGCCTAAAGGGTCCAACCGAACGTTCGGCTTAAGGTTTCGTAATTGAATAGGAGGATGGTTCCGGGTTCACGTAAGAACAGTTGTTGATCGCCATTCCCCAACGAGCCAGGACTACTTGAGACTTATGGAAATGGTTGGACCCTCAATAGGGAAGGTGCCCTTAAGAAAATGCGATGGACGGGGCACAGCTGCAGAAAAATTTCTAGCATACGACATTTATTTCAGCTGCCATGATAAAGCGCGTAAATTTCGTATGGGATATGTGGTTAGGTGGAGAGTACGACCATTGTCTTCAAGTTCAACCCCACCAGTGAGCAAATTGCCGAATTACCCATAAAGGCTAAGCCAAACAACATCAGATTAGTAATTTTCGTGGAAGAGCAGAGCAATGAAAGCAAGGAGCATTTCATTAGCATCTAGCAGAACCTATGAGCTCCGCCCCAGCCGCGATGCTAAATATGTGATAGGCGGCTTTAACGCAACGATGTGAAAAGAAGGCATATTTGGTCCAACAGTCGTCAAAGTCAGCCTTCATGACAACACCTCCGACAACGGAGAGAGGCTGATCGACTTCGGCGCGGCACGGAACACGGGTGATTAATAGTACCAGACATCAGCATCGATTCACCCACAAAGGCACTTGGCTGTGCTCTGATCAAAGAACGAAGAACCTAGTTGATCATGTTGTGATGGGAGATACGCTTCGAACATTTTGGACGTGCGCTCCATACCTGAAGCGAACATCGACTCGGATCCACTACCTTGTAGCAGCCGTGTTCCGCATGCACCCTAAAAAAACGCGACGAAAGTTAGATGTGGAAAAGCTGCAGTCGCAACGCATAGCCGTAAAGTTTCGCAATTGACACTTAATTTTGGTTGATGAAGCAACTCTTTATCGCCTGGACATAAACTAGCAGTGGGATTCCAATTCCCAAACACTTCGAACCGCTAAGGAGGAGGCGCTAGTTATTATCAACCACGCAGAAACAGATTGTCACGCAACTGCTGCAGAGAAATACACATTACAGCAACCTACCCTGCAGCCAATGGCGACATGTGCGACAGTTTAGCGATACCGGAAAAAAGGAGGGTAGAGATGCGTATTTTGAAGAGGAGGGAAATAGAGGCAGAGGGCGCGAAGAAACGAGCTGGAGATGCTGCCAAGCAGGGATGCGGCTCGAAAATTCTATCAAAACACACTCCCATGCACTTGAATGGGGCAAAGAATTTTCGCTTATTTTTTCTGTTACTTAAAATTTATTCATTCTTCATATTTTTCAATTAAAACAAGTAATTAAAAATTTTGTTTAAGACAAGCTTTTTTTAGTGGAGAGGAAAAAAGAAAATAAAATCGAGACCCGTATCACCTAAAGGCAAATCTTTTGTTGATGTATTTCTTGCCATCTAAGTAATGCAGCATGTTCTAAATATCAAACAAATGGCACCATAGATACTGATTTTCCGAATAGTTATCTCGACTTCTGCGCCACCTATCTTGCAAAATATTTGTGGATCATTGGGAGGTTGGTTGACTGCATGATTTCATTACACGCAGGTGATATATTAAAAAAGCTAGTAACAAAGTTCATGCTCTAACAAAAACAATGTATGTAAATAAATGCAAGATTCGAAGTTTGTAAAAAGTAAACCAAAAAATCTATAAAACTTTTTTTAAATTTTGAACAGACTCCAAAAAAAAAGAGTTGGAATATTTTTTTTATGTATGTTACCGCATAACTATGGACCACATCCACCGATTTCTATAATTCTCCCATACTAATATTACTTTCCCATACCGATTTGGTTTCGATCCGATTGTTGGATCATGGAGAAATTAACGGTACTTCTAAATTTTTACATGAGAATTGAAGTTGGTTGTGTTAAGCAAAAAACAAAATTACTTATAGTATAGCAAAGTGCAAATTTCAAGTAACTAAAAATTACATGCGTTAAAATGTTGTGGAAGAGTGTCAGTAACAAGTTTTCAAAAATTAACGGAAACTTTCAGATACTCCAAACTTGCACCTTATTGCACTGAAATTGAATGGGCTACAAAATTGCATATTCGAAAAAACCCTCATACTCAGAAAAGTCTGAAGTTTCCAGGAAAATTTTACGACAGTTTGAATCTTAACTGAAAGTAAAATACCAAAAAAAAAAAAATCGAGAGAACATTGTTCCTATTCAAATGCATGGGAGTGTATAAGGCAAGAACAAAATGGTTTTTAGATCCGGCCTTATTCTGCAAGAAGATGTAAATCTGGTAAAAGACGTCCAGCGTATACTTGAGATATGGAGCGCACACTTCTCAATACTTTTGAATTGTGGTGCTTTTGATGATCTAGAACCTGGAGCAATGTATAGGAACGAAGCTCTCTTCTTTCCATGTGATAGGCGCATTGATATACCATATGGAGTTACCGATCCTTTTCGATGTGAAATAGCTCACTTGAGGACAAACCACTTTGCTGCCGTAGAAACAATGGTAAATATTGGCTTATTTTGGGCTCCAGAAACTTAGATTTTTCGGAACGTAAGTTCTAGATGTATTACTGTGTACAAACTTTATATAAATTTACAAAAATAATTGCATTTTACAGCAAATAATTGCTGAAAAATTAGCATTTTTTTATTACCAAAGTACTCGAAGACCGCTCGAATGATTTTGTTTTCATTTTCTTTTACAAAATATTCAAGTTTTTTCTTACGTTTGGTACATGGTAAGTATTGTTTGATATCTCCTTGGTATGTTTATTTGATTCCATTATATAGGCGGAAATCATTTTTCATACAAAATCACTTCATCGTCATTTTACAAACACGTGCATGCGCCGGAAGTGAGAGAAGGAGCCAAAAAGTATGTGTGTGTATTTCGACTTTTGAGCAACAGATGGCACAGCTCCGGCGAAATATTTATAACTAGGGCTCGGCATTTGAAAAACATGCGCATATAATATGCACAAAAAATTGAGAAGTATGCGCTATAAGGAACTAAAAACATTTTCGCAATATTTTGTTGGTACAAAAATATATAACACATGTATTTTAACAAGAAAGTAACAAAAACAATACCCTTCAAAAAATAATACAAATTTATGTATAAAATTAGTTTATAAGCCGACAAGCCGACAGTTACAATCTTGTGTAAATAGAAACATTGACACTTTAATAGTGGTTCAGATAAATGCTTACTTGGTTTAAGTGGATTGTCACCCTGGTGACAAGCAATTAGCAAGTTTGCCATTTTGATTCCACACTTCGTAAAACTCACAGCCATTTGGCGGATTTAAGATAAGGCGTGGGAGTAAACGTTTTAGCTGACTGTGTGTGGAGCTACGGGGCGTATACATTATATACTCAACCACAGGTATGTGGTTATTTTTAGTTTTTTAGTATGTCTCTTTAAAATTTTTATTTAAACACAATTTCGTGTTGCCATCTTGTTCTTTCTACAAAACTGAAGATAATGCATTTTTGTCTAATAATATAAGAGCTCGTGAGATTTGCTCATATAATAGGCAATATCTCGTTCATGAGTAACCTCATTGTATTTTGGGTGTATAGTCCGCATTAGTTTAGTGTTAGGCATTCGCCCCATTTATTTTAAAGGTATTACAGGAGGAAAAAAATAGGGCTTCATATTATTTGTATATTATATACAGCTCGCAAACTAATATCCGATTTACTAAATTTTTTCAGATTGCAAAACTCTTTACACCGACTACTGTCACAATACTGGCAGTGAAAACTGTGATGACAATAACATTTACCAGTCACATTAACACGGCGAGAGGACAAAGCAATAAACGAAAACTCTGAAAACAACACAAAACGAAAAAAGGCGCAAGCGGCTGAGCTGAAACAGCGACGTACAAATGTAAGCAGTTGTGCTAGAGCGCAGAGTTGGATAAGATATCAAAATAGTAAATGCGAATCCAAACAATAGCAAGTACGCTAAAACATTTTAGAACAATTAAAGCAGAGAACAGATGAAGAGGAGCGTTGAGGGGCTAGAGAATGCAGAAAACAGATAAGACATATAATGACTGCGTTAATTGAAAACTCAAAACTATGCGGTAATGAAAATGTTGGCCGAAGGACAAAACTAAAAACTAAGCACAGAGAAAGGACAAGTACCGAGATGGCGATAATATTGTGTTGCAAATGTTGGAGAAGTTGTCATACCGAAGCAAACAGATAAGCAGTTAGCATAGCTTCGGTTTAAGCGCCTGAAAGTAGGCAAAAGTTTGTAATCAAATTAAATGTAACGTAGCGTAAAATACACAATCTCTGAGTTAAAGCATTTAAGTTGGCATTTGGTGGAGAGGTCAGGTGATTTTGTAAATGAAACCAATTGAAAAGCAAGTTATACTTAAACTGTATGAAATGGAATATTTGCTTATTTGTTAACGAGTTTGCTGGTAAGCCAATGCAGCCGCAATCAAAACCTGCAGAGACAATTGTTTTCAAATAACTGTTATAAGTATTTCGATATAGAATATTTGAGAGAAACAAAACCAATAAATAGGTAAAAATTTAATAAAAAGGTTTTTCCCTTCAAAACAACAAAAGCTAAAAATTTAAAGACAATTAAATAAAAATATAAAAAAAAAACAAAAAATAAATTAAGAAGGAACCAAAAAATATAAATGTTTCTAAATAAAAAATTAAAAAGATAGTTTTCTTTGAAAAAAAAAAATAAAATCTTCAAACAAAATTAAATAAATATTTATCTTTCTAAAACAATACAATCTTAAACTTAGAAAATTAAATTAAAAAAGAAAAGAAATAAATAAAAACATACAGAAACCAAATTTCTAAAAATTAAATTAAATTAAGTAAACAATAATTTTTCTTTTTATAACAAAAGCTCGAGCAAAATGATATACATACATATCCATTTTCACTTTTTTTTTGTAAGACTTTTGTGCCAGAATAAATAAAATCTTTCAAAATATCTTGCCTACTGCCTTTCAGGATTTGGAACTATCTTAGCCAGAATTGCCCTGTAAGGCTACTGGGCAGAAACAGAGCTAGAGCCTTCAATACTTTCGATTCATTCCTCATGGCGCCAATTGCGACATAAATCGTTAGTCGGAAAATTCTACCAGCATACCTTACCTCTAGATAATGCCCAATTACATACTGATCGACCAAATTCCGAATCAGAGGCCGTTATAGAAAAATAATTTAGTCGTGTCTTTTCTTATCGAAATTAGACTAGAATTGTTGAACCGCTCTACAACTGGTTTCTGCTGACCAACTTTAATTTGCACTTCCTAAGAAGAATAATTTGTAAGAAGACACCACAATTCTCGAAGAGTGAGAGGCATTCACTGCAGACATGAACATTGCTTTTCTCTCAAGTTCGCCCGTAACCAATTCCGAAGAGATTTCTCTACAGTTTAAATACCAATTTTACCATCGTATTAGCTATTGCTTTCTGGCAAATTAAGAGTCCATGCATACAGACCTATACGTAGATGCCTATTATGTAGGCCCAAGACTGAATTGTCTTCGAAATAATTCCAAAAGAAGTTCATGTAAAAAGTGAATTTTAAAAGATTGCTGCAGCATAAATCTATAAAAAAATATCAGACGCCCCTAACAACACGCATTATCTAGCTACATGCCCGCAACACTGCCAGATTTGGGGCTGATTACGCAACGCATGTGTTAGGCTGACAGGAGATGGCCATGTGCTTCAAACAGTAAGAAATCCTGAATATAATTGAAGCATAGGTCGCTAAAAAAGGCCTCTCAATAAACTCAATATATTCCGACATCAT